CTCTCTCTCTCTCTCTCTCCACCTGTGTCTCTCATTTTCTTTGTCTCTACCTGTGTCTCTCTTTCTATTTGCCTCTACCTGTGTCTTTTTTTTGTCTGTCTGTTTGTCCGTATGCCTCTGTGACATTGTGTTTTACATGTACATGTATTATGTTCGTTTGCGTGTGGGTATGTGTGTGCGTGAGCGTATGTGTGAGTGCGTTTATGAGTGTGTGTATGTGTGTGAGCGTATGTGTGTGTATTTGTGTGTGTGTGTGTGTGTGTGTGTGTGTGTGTGTGTTTCTCACCTTCTGCCACACCTCCCACCACACACACTCAACACACAAACAACACTGTGTCAACTCGCGCGAACACCCCCATCTGTCTCCTTCCTTTTCCCTCTTTCTCAAACGAGCGTGAACAAGAAGAGTTAATCAAGGTTCTTTTTTTAGATTAAAAAAAGGTAAACGAATCAAATGTCTTAAGCGAAACGGGGCCTCGCAAACAGCAGTTCCACGATGCAACCTAAATCCAAGGTTGGGTGATCCTGTAAATGTGAGGAATCGCGATGAAATCAGGCGCTCGTCTGAAAAATGAAATCAAAGAAACCTGCGTTTCTCTGGGCGTTGGTCAATTTTTAAAAATATTTTTTCTAGCTTTTTTTATATCCATTAAAATATTTCTGTTTCGATTTTTACTTTTTTTTAAAAGGCCATCAAAGACAAAAAAAGTATACTTGTTGTTTCCATGGACACTCAAGTTTTAGAATTCATCAAACTTTGCTGTCCATTTTCTCGCTAACTTTATCTCTGCCAATCGGCAACCCCCACCACTTTAGATAACAAATTCCTCGACTTCTATTCGAGAGAGATGAGTATTTTTTCTACCAAAAGCAAGGCAAATGAACAAACTTGAACAAAACCTTGATGTTATATGTCCAAAGATTGACGAGCGCCTGTTTCAACTGCGTCATGTCACAAATTATAGGCCCACAATTTTGAAGCAAGGACAGCTTCCTTCACGCCGATTTGCACAAGGAGTGAACTGCACAAGGAGTGAACTGTAAGAGGGGCTAGCGGGCGGGTTGCGCTCCGACAAGAAAGGCTTAGTATTGCTAAGTGTGGGCGCCCAGCAAAACAAATACCTCTATCAGTTTTTCGTTGTTGTTGTTGTTGATTTTGTTGTTGTTGTTTAATAGTTCTTTTTTTTTT